AGGTCTGTCCCCAGGGAGAGGCACGAGGCTCCCCACCCCTGCTGTGACCCCAGGTCTGTCCCCAGGCCAGGCCTGAGGCTCCCCCAGCCCTGCCGTGACCACTCATCTGCAGAGGCTTGCATGAAGCGAGATCTGAAACCAGGACAGACTAAGAGTCGGACGAGCGTGCAGCGGGAAGGCTGGGCCCTCGGCGGCCTCCCAGTGCGCATGCGTGTGTTCCCTTCATTCCCAGCCTCCGTCACAGCAGCCTGTCGAGGGCGGGGAGGAGAGACGATGTGCCCATCGCCGGCTCGCTGGTCCAGACCCTCTGCCTCCTGCCCCACAGTTGAGTTGGTCGCTGCCCTGTGACGCTGGCATCTGGGCACTGCGGCCCGAGGAGCTGACTGCGGGCGAGGAGGGGCAGCTCCCTGCCTCACCTGGCCGTGGAGCAGGCTGCACAGACTGCCGGGCTCTGGGTGCAGGGTAGGAAGGACTGCGCTCCCCTTTCTGCACACGAGACCAGCGGGGACCCAGCCTCGGTGAGAGACACCTGCAGGGCAGGCGTCACCTCATCGCCAGGGTCGTGAGACAGAGGGAGGCTGTGAGGACTGAGCCAAGCGTCCCGAGAGCCACGCCATCTCCCGGCCTGCCAGCTGAGGCGGAAGGTGGCGATGGAGCTCAGTCTGCACCCACAGCCTGAGAGCCAGGGGCTGAGGCGGTGAACCCGCTGTGAGCAGAAGAGGGGCAGATGGCCGCGCAGGGCACTGAGGGGGGCACAGAGGGCGTAAGAGCTCCCCTCTCCTGTGTCCACCTCGGGCCCTCACTGGCCAGCGTGATGCCACTGCCATGGGCAGGCCACCAGCCCAAATGCTCAGCTGCTCTGGACACCGGCACGCAGCGGTCGTCACGCGTGGCTTGGGTGCCCACGTCCCTGCAGCGCTGACGTGGACTCAACCACCCCCTGGGGGCAGGAAAGGTCTCTGCGTGGGTCTCTCGGGCCACGTTCCCTCCAGGCCCTGGCGCAGCGACAGCCACGCTGCTCACTGCGCCTGCCCAGCAGCGGCGGGGTTCCGAGGAGCCTGCTCGGGAGGGTCACAGGACAGCTGGAAGACCTCGCCTTACTGAGGACTGGGTGTCCCAGGACAGGGACGGTTCCCCTTCCCTGCCTTCAGCCGCTGTTCCTGCCGCAGCGCGTGTGGGCCCGCCACGTGCCCGGCATGGCGCCGAGTCCCCAGGTGGTGGTGAGGCGGTTGTCTGCCATCTAGGCCGTGCGGAGCTCGCCGTGGAGACGGGGACAGCGGGGTGGGCAAAGGCTGAGTGCCGTAGTGCAGGGAGCCTGGAGGCCGGGACAGGGGCCGGGGTCGGGCTGCAGGGCCAGGCAGGGAGGCGGGCAGCCAGGGAGTGGGGCGGCTGGGCCTGCACCTGCCCTGTCCTCGGCAGGAGAGTGAACACGGAGCCGCCGGCCAGGGGAGCCGCTGACTGCATCGCTGTCTGCTGCTGGGTGTGCCAGGGCTAATGCCAGGAAAGAGGACCAAAGGCAGAGCTCTCTCACCACTGGCTCGCCCGAAGGGCACTTTGCTGTAAGGATGGCATCTAAGGAAAATGTTGAGTTTTCGCAAGGCCGGCACATCAAGGCCACCAGCAGGAAGGTTGAGTACACAGCCCCCAAGGGCTGGGCCCCGGGCAGCAGGACGCAGGGCTGGGCTCAGAAGGGGCGAAGAGACAGGGCAGGAGCAGAGCACCGGCAGCTTTGAATCATTTTGGGGTCTCCTGGCACAGAGGGCCCCGGGCTCTGGTACCTGCCTGGGGTGACCCAGGGTGTGAGAGGCTGGCAGAGGAGGCGCCTGGCTGTGGGTCCCAGACGGTGGGTGCGGGAGTGTGCCGGGGGCATTGGCCACTGTCCCTGGGGCCCCGCCTGTGCAGGGAGGCGCAGCCTTCATGTTTTAGGTCTTAAAAGCATTCAATAAACACATCAGTGTTTTGCCCTTGTTTCTACAGGGAGTGAATGCATCTAGAATTGGACGAGGGTGTCAAGTTTCCTAAACCCTTTTTAGGGCTGCCAGGTGTGCAGCTCCCCTGCGGGACCTGAACCTCTGCTGTGGTAGCTTGGCTCTGTCTCAGATCAGCCCTGCTGGAGGGGAGGACGGGAGAGCAGCGGGCACCACGGTTTGAGTGAGCCCAGGGAGCCCGCGTGTGGGAAGCCAGCCCTCCCCGAGCGGGGCTAGCGGTGCAGCCTAAGGGAACAGGCGAGAGCTGACACTGATGCCCTCCGGGGTCGCTGAGTCGGGCCCTCCAGGCCCGGGTCAGTTCCCGCGAGATCAGGCCATGAGGAAGCGGGGCTGCGGGTGCTCAGCCCGCGTGCGTCCTCCCGCAGAAGCCTCCAGCCGAAGCCACAGGCTGCCCATGCCCTGGGGCCTCCCGGTCTCCAGAGACTTTGCTTTCTACACTACCCGGTCCTGGGCGCCCTGTCAGCAGCGAGGAGGGCGGGGAGGAAGAGGACGCCAGGGAGGGGGCTCACGGAGGGAGCAGAGGTGCAAGAGGCTCTGGACAGTGGCAGCAGCATTTCGCCGAGAGCAGAAACGAGAAACACGCCCCCGGGGGGCCGGGCAGAAGGAGCAGCAGCCTTCCTCCTAAGACGCGCCGAATGAGCTTAGCCCTTGTTTCCTGGACTCTAGTGACTGGCGAAGGGACAGCAGCCGCCTCTCCACCTAGAGCAGGACAGCACTCAGGACCAGGGCAAACGGTGTGCTGTTAATGGAGCCGCAGGAATATGGGCGTTCTCCTGCGGGCCTCTGCAGAGCCTGCACAGCGGCCTCAGGTCTGCAGGCGCTCGGGCTCAGGTTCGGGGCGCTAACCCTTCTCGCCTGCAGATGAGCGCTCTCTGTCCCCGTGGGACCCGATGAGGGAACTCACAGCCGCCGCTCGTGCCCTCGGCCACTGCGGCCGTCTCTGTCACCGGAGTGCTCTGGAACACCTTGTTCTCATCCTCCTGGATGAAGCACAGAGAGTGGAGCGACTCTGACTGCTAAAGCAACCCTGGACACACACCTGCAGCAGGGCACAGCCCAAGGCTCTGCATGCAGACCTGCTCTCGCCGCTACAGGGTCCAGAGGCAGGCTCCAGGCCAGGGCTCCGAGCCCCGCCTCTCCTTGCGGAGCGAAGTTACCAGGCTCGCCTGTGCCCTGCTCCACGCTGCCACAGCGACCCCTGCACCACGCCACAGCTGTGGCTGTGAAACTTTTCTCCTTCTGTAGTCAAGTCCCAGGCAGCCTTGACCGAGGGCAGTGTTGCTCGCTTGTTGTTTCAAATAGTAGTTGTTTCTTTCCTCCTGGAAAAGTTCATCGTTTTTTGGCTGCAAATTTTTAAACAGTTAGCATTTCTGTCTCCCATCTTTGGGGTCCAGAGGGTTTGAGGTGGCAGTGTTTCTTTCACACAGGTGTAAATGCACGTTTTGCTTGCGGACCTGAGACTCTTGTCTGCAGGGGCGGACGGAGAAGAGAGACAGCCGTCCTGGCCTGATGCGGCTGATTGTTCCCGTGGGTGCAGGCTCATTTAGGAAATGTGTACGTAGCACTTCAGAATCCCACGTCTTCTAGGATCTCTTGCTTTTGTTTGTTTTTTAATTGTGGGAGGGTGCTGGCCCACTAGAAGCCTTCTTTTGGCATGAGCTGGCCACGGCTGGGCACACTGGGGACCCCATTTCCCAGCCTCCTCTGCAGTGAGGCGTGGTCTCGGGACTGTGGCTGGCCAGGAGCTTGCAGGGTGGTCTTACCTGTCCCCGTCATAAGCTGGAACACAGAAGTGGCTGAGCCCAGACTGACCATAAAGAGATGCTGGTGCCCCAAGGGACACTGGGAAAGGAGGGGTAGGAGCCTGAGTCCTGAAAACCACGTAGAGAAGAGCACCTGCCCGGCTGCCCTGGCCTTCTAGTGTCTGTCTGTCTGTCTGTCTGTCTGTCCAATCAGCTTTGTGTTGGTTCTCATTCACCCAAGTGATGCCCCATCTCCTTCCTGCCTCCTGGGTTCCCAGCGATGCTGGGGACCCAGGATGCCCATATGTGCAGCTCCTTCTTCCAGCCAGGGAGGGGTTCACACGTGGGTGCACCCGCTCCTCTCGCAGCCCCAGGGGCCCCTCCGACCAGCGGACGGTGGGTGGAGTGGGGCGTGGCAGAGCCACCAAGCACAGCCTGCCCGGGGCAGTGCGGCCCATGCTCCTGGCTTCAGCCATATTGTCAGGTGGAGCCTGAGGTTGATTGGAGCCACATGCGCATGAGGAGAGGGACCGTGACCCTGTGACCTAAGCAACACGTAGCTGCCTCTGTCCTTGCTGCTGAGCACACCTGTGAAACGCAGGGGCTCTCCAGAGCAGTAAGAGCCCCCTTCACGGGGTGGGCTGCTCTCTAGGTGGCTTCAGGATGGGGCTGGCCCCAGGAAGACCAAGACCCGATTACAGGACAGTGACTGCCAGCCTCGTCCACCCCCGGGGTGTGTGGAGCTGAGGATGGAGCTGAGCCCTGGGAGTGAGGCAAGCATCACACCTGCGCACTGAAGCCGCTGGAGAACCCAGGGGACTGGCCTCAGTGCTCCCAGGGAGCCCAGTGGGGATCCCCTGAAGGGGGCCACAGAGGGAACCCGAAGCTCCGTACCCCTCACTCACACCTCACACTGTGCAGCCACTCCCTGGGCCCTTCACCTATGGGCCTAGTGATGTCCCTTCTAATAAATGGGTCCATGCAAGTAAAGTGCTTCTCCAAGTCCTGTGTGCTCTCCTAGTAAATTAACCTGATCCCACCCTCGTCCACAGAGGACAAACCTGGCATGATACGTGTGGGTGCTACACCTGCGGTAATCATTGTCACGGAACTGCAGCATCTACTGTGGGCCCGGCCTTGGGCGCAGTCCTCTGCCTCCACTATTCACTTCTTGTGTGAGCGGCGGTGCTAGGGATGGATCCCAGCACCTTGCACATGCGAGCAAGCGCTGCACCCCTGAGCCACACCCCAGCTCCCCAACAGATGACGCAGGTCTTCAGAAAGAGTTTGTGCACTGCGTAATTTTTTTTCAGTGCTGCGAATGGAAGCCAGGGCCTCGTGCATGCTGGGCGGGTGCTCCCCCCTGTGCTCCCCCGGCCCTTGGCTTGTTCCTCCTTGGTGCCCGACCAGGAGGGCTGCACTGTTTCGGAGACGAGGAGTGGGGTGCAGCCCTTCCCAGTGACAGTGAATGAGGCAGCCTGGGGCTAGAGTAGCCTTCTGGAGCCCCTCGTTTGGGAAGAACTCCCGCCTGACCTCTGGGCTGTCCAAGCGGCAGGCTTGGGGTGTTCACCAGCTGAGCAGGCTGCGGGGTGATGCAGAAACGCTCTCCCGGAGGGTTCCTCCGAGCTGCGAGCCGTGAGAGCCGCCGGGGCTCAGAGCGGCAGTCCGGAACCGTCCAGACCTCTGTGGCTGGCTTGGAACCCCGCGTTCGTCTTGTGCTAACCACGGAGACCACGATTCCGAGGAAAAGGTGGCAGGTTCTGAGGGTTTGCTGCAGTTAACACAACACCGCCAAGCTTCACCGTCAGCCCTCCTCGCCCTCCTCTGGTTTGGCTCTGCAGTCAGCCAGGCAGGCATAAGGGACCCTGTGCTTGAGAGTAACTTGGTACAGCGCATGCCCGGCTCTGTTGCTCCCTTACACTGCAGGACAGCTGTGTATGAGACGATATGTGCTCTAGAGGATGCGCCAGGCTCTGCGTGGAGAACACACCACTGTCTAGGGGTCGGAGCATCTGCAGCTCTCATTACCTACTGAGGGTCAGTTCCAGACTTCTCAAGCATGTGACCCTGTTTGCGGCTCTTTTGCAAGGCTCTTCCTGGAGCCCAGGTGCCTGCCTGTGTGGGGATGGGGTGTTACCGTGGTGGCAGCGTTCTGTCCTCCACCCCCCACCTGGCCCTCACAGGGACAAGCCGGGTGTGAAGCTCCCTGACCTTGCACCAACCCCAGGATTTGGGGAAACCCCAGGCTGAAGCAGAGATGGAAACTAAACAAACGAATGGCACCAGGTGAGGCGGGCCGTGCTCACCCTGGAACTAGCACCGCCTGGAGTCTCAGGAAGCCCAGGCGGCTCAAGGGCAGCACAGAGGGCACCGTGCCGTGAACACTGACTGGCACTGCCTGAGTTCCATAGCGGGCCGTGATAAAAAGGAGCGGAAGGAAACGCCCCTCATCCAGACCCTGCGCTCAGTCTCCGCGTCCTTGTGTTGTGACATCCTTTGGGCTTTCTGGCTTTGCTAGTAACTCGCAGGCTCTAGGCTTCCTGAAGTCCTCTGGTCTCAGGAGCACTGTGGCTGTAGTGTTTCCTAAGCTGCATGGATTCAACCCAATCCCAAGGCCATCACAGTAAGGGACGGGGCTTTGGCAGGCGACCAGATCACGAGAAACTCAGGGGGCCCCGTTCTGTGAACATGGTGGGTACCACGGCGAGCCAGGAAGCAGCCTCTGCCCCGCACCCCACCTGCGGGTGCCTGGACCTCAGCCTTCCCGGCCTCCTGAGTGTGACAAACACACTTGTGCTGTTTGTAAATTACCCGGCACAGCCATTTTGTTAGAGCAGCCTGAGAAAACATTAAAGGAGTGTTGGGCGTTGGACTCTGTGGTTCCTCGTGGACTTGGTGTGAGTTTTGGCAAAAATGTAACCTTTTTTTTGTTGTTGTTGTTCTGGTACCAGGAATCGAACTCACGACCTTGCATTTGCCAGGCAGGCGCTGTGCCACTGAGCTAAATCCCCAGCCCCCCAAAATGTAACGTTATACACCGAAAAACAATAGTACTTTATTTAAAATATATACAAAATTATTACTTTGAAACATATATAATACTGTCCAACATTCATCACACGACAGATCAATGTACATTTTGGGACCTTCATTCTGTTTTTCAATTTTTGAAGACATTCTCCACAACGGGGACAGGAGGAGAGTGTACGGGTGTGGTCCCCCCATAGCTCTCTACACCCCAGGCACTGCCGGGCACTGGAACCCTGGCCCCAGGAGCTGTGGCAAACCCTGTCCTGGCCAGCGCGGTCAGTACGGGGCAGGCTCAGTCCGCTGTCCTCCACCTGAGGAAGGCGGCGTTACTACTTTCCCGACAACTGGGCGGAGACCAGTGTAAGTTGTGTTCTCTTTGTGCCCTGCCTCGCCCCTCCACCGCCAGCCCATGACCACCACAGCTGCAAGAGCAGAACCGGGGACCGCAAAGAAACAAGCAGGGAAGCACAGTGGGAGTCTGTGCTCCTCGGCTGACTCCCATGGCCCTGAGATGAGCCTGGTGCCGCCTCCGGGCTCAGCCCCCCACAGTGCCTGACATCCGGGAGGGGCCAGTGCATGCTCTGGGCACACGAGTGCCGGGATGGGGGGACAGAAGACTCCTCTGTTAGAATCAGGGTGATGCACCTAGACCAGCTTCCTTGCCTGGCAAAGGGGGAACAGACCGAGGAAAAGGAGGTGGAATGAAGAGTCATCCAAGCAGTATCCGAGGGGGTTGGACCTGGAGACAACTCTCCGAGTTTCTCCTGAAAGTCGCCCTCTTCAGATCTGACCCTGGGAGCGGGAGAGTGCAAGGCTCACCTCCCAGCACCGAGGGCTCGCGGTGGCAATGGGCAGCTGGGTGTGGTGGCTGGGTGCAGGGCTCCAGGAAGGTCCCCTTGGGCAGCTGCACTCCCGGTCTGACCCACACAGGTGAGTGAGGTAGGAGAAACAGAGACCAGGGCCGGCCCAACTGGGGCTCTGTTTGCTGCCCCGCCGCAGTTCCCTGGCTGGTGTGGATTCAGGGCATCCCCAAGGCTCGGAGCCCAGAGCGAGCAGGGAACGTGTAAACAGAGCGAGTCACTACGGACACTTGCTCGTGGGCAAATCCCAGGCCGTGCTGTCCGGAACGCTGGGAAGGACGGTGGTGTGGGGACAGGAGCGGGCAGGGATAGGACGGCCAGGTGAGGGACCTGTGTGAGTGGCCAGGATGCCTCCTCACTGCAGCCGAGCTGGGAGAGCACCTTCCGCGCCCTGAGCCACCCACGGCTCCATGGCACACCAGGGACTGAGACGCGGGGCTCACTCCCTCTGCTTCCCAGCGTGACTTCCGTTCCCTCCTAGGAAGGGTAATTTGGCACCATCAGGAACGATCGTCCGGCCACCGTAAAGAGCCCTGCGTGATACCAAGACTCACAACCCCAAGGAACTCTGAGGAACACTGGGGGTAAATGGAATGAAGGACGGCCCAGCCCGCCATGGGCATCTCAGTCTGAACCAAGCACCTAGGGGGGCGCTCTGCGAGCACCATGGGCGGTACCCTGCCATGCCTGCCTCCCCTTCCCTCCTGCCTAGCTCTCTGCAGCCTGACAACCTTGCCATGATGCTACCATGAGAAACAAGACTGATTCACCTCGCCAAAACCTGAAACTTGGGCACCGCAGCCCGTGCCCGACACGTGAGTACCTCTGTGCTTGAACAGTCACCACAAAACACAGACGAGACGCGAGCGGCAGGAAGCCCACGCCTATACCTCTGACTGGTTCTCGGTGCACACATAGACCGTGCTCGGCTGGATGCGCCTCTGCACCCGCGCGGGCACCCTGGGCAGCGTGTGGAAGGTCTGTGGCAGCAGCTCGACGCAGGCCTCGCGGAACTTCTTGATCCTCCAGCAGTAGACGATGGGGTTGAAGGCCGACTTGAGGTAACTGAGCCACAGGACGCAGGCGCTGGCGGTGTAGAAGGAGGAGCCGTAGTAGAAGCTCCGGCTGAACACCGACAGCAGGCTGTAGACGGAGTGCGGCAGCCAGCAGAGCGAGAAGCCCACGAAGAGGATGAGGATGGTGGTGAAGGCCTTGGTTTTGAAGCTCAGGTCCACGCTGACCTGCTGCTGCCGCTGCAGCCGCCTCAGGCCGGCCCGGGTCAGCTGCCTCAGGTCCAGGCTGTCCGACTGGTTGTGCACGCGCACGGCGTTCTTGCGCACCGTGTTGAGGATGCACAGGTAGGAGCAGAGCATGACACCAAAGGGCACGAAGAACACGGCCACCACCAGCGTCACCACGTAGGCACGGTCGGCTGGGAGCTCGGTGTAGCCCAGCACGCACTGCGGGGCGCGTGCGGGCACTTCCACCAGCGTCCAGCCCCACAGCGAGGGGACGGAGATGCAGAAGGACAGTGCCCAGGACACGGCGATGATTCCCTTGGCCCTGCGCGGGGTCAGCCTGTCCTGGCGCTGGACAATGATGAGGAAGCGGTCCATGCTGATGATGACCAGGATGGCCACGCCCTCCAGCACAAAGAGCCAGTACAGCGTGGCCGAGAGCCGGCAGAAGTGGTCCCCGAAGTGCCAGTGGACAGTGATGAGGGTGACGGCCGTGAAGGGCATGCAGCACAGGGACAGCATGATATCGCAGAAGGCCAGGGTGGCCAGCAGCAGGTTGATGGCAGAGCGCATGGCCGGCCTCTGGTACACGATGACGCAGACCACCGTGTTGCCCAGAAAGCCCACCACCATCATGAGCAGCATTAGGACGGCCAGGGAGATCCGGAGCGGCGCAGACAGCGGTGTGGCCCCCACATCCGAGGTGTTGCTCCCGTTTGACTGCAGGTGCTCGTAGGGCTGGAAGGTGGTGCTGTTGCAGGCCATGGTGGGGGGAGCCGAGGGCAGGGATGGAGAGGGCAGCGGGGCTGGCCCTCAGTACCTGCGGGGCTCCCACTGTCTGTCCGCTGGCTGCATCCTCCCCTTGGATGTTGTTGGGTCTCCTGGAGCTGGGTGCTCAGGAAGAAGTTTGCGCTGGGCTCAGCAGCTGGGAGGTGCAACTCATCAGTCACAGCCAGGTCCCTCCGTGGGTGCATATCATGTCCACCGCTTCCTGCACGGATGCTCTGCGGCCTGGAGCAGGTGGGAGAGAAGGGAGGGGCAGTTAGGCTTTCTCCACATGTGCTGAGCAGAGCGCACGTGTGCTCTGAGCGGGTACAAATGGCCACGCTGCTGAGTGACTTCACATCTGTGGATTCAGCCAGTCGGGATCGCAGGTATTCAGAAAAACCAGTGTTCAGTGTTCAGTGTCTGAACTGAACACCTACAGACTGTTTTCTTTGTCACTGTCAATGATACATCAACTGCTTACCTAGCATCCACAACGTATCAGGCGTTATGAGTCATCTAGAGAGACTTCAGAGTGTGCAGCCGGGTGACCACAGCTTACATGCAAACACTGTGTCATTTTACAGAAGATACTTGAGCCTCTGGGGATTTGGTTTCTCTGCAGGGGGCCTTGGATCTGTCCCTGGAGTGACTTAGGGACACTGGAGCAGAGAGAGGATACTCACATGTGTGTCATGTATGTCTTGTCAAGCAGTCCAGAAAACCTAATCCACACTATGTTCATGGACTCAGGAAGTAGGTACTTTTTAATTTGCACATATGTACTAAACATTTATGTAATACCTGACGTTCTAAGCAACCTGACTGAGTGAAGCTGGGAATAATCCAAGTTGCGACAGATGCTAGCTCTGAGGAGTATAGTGCCATCACGATCCAACCAGATTCTGAAAGTGCCACCTCTGAGCACCCGAGACTGTCAGGGGATGCTTTAGATGTAAGCCATAACATTTCACCCCAGGCCCCTAAAGGCTCATGTTCATCTCACTCTGGGACATGCACTCAGTCCCTCTCTAAGAGCTGCTAAACCATCAACAGTTCCAGTATTTCTCCAAAGTCTGAGTCTAAAGTCTCTTCTGAAACTCAAGGCAACTCTCAGCTGTGAGTGCCTGTAGAAATAAAACAGCAAATTTCATACTTCGGAGAGACAATGGCACAGTGGAGTAGTCAGTTTTCCCACTGGTGCAACACAATACCCAAAACTCACAAATTAAAGGAAGAGAGATTTAATTTGGCTTATAGCTCCAGAGGACTCAGTCCATGGTCAGCTGGCTCCAAGGCAGAAGCATCATGCCCAAAGTGTGTGGCAGAGCAAAGATGCTTAGTTAGTGGCAGCCAGGAAGCAGAGCAAGGCATCAGTGTCAGAGAAGAAGGGACAAGGAACCAGACATAGATCCCAGAGCCAGACCTCTACGACCCACCCCAGAGCACCTAGAAGTGTGCCCCAGCAGTCTCCAGGGCAGATCCCAGAGCAAATCAAGGTTACCCTCCACCCTAACCACCACATCCCACTCCTGCACATACCCAAACACGTCTCCTTAAATCACACTCAGTTTCCAAATACAGCAACAGTAAGTTTATAATTCTGCCTAGTGTAACACAATTTCCCTGCCTATACCAGAAACTCAACCGCTCTTTCCCCCAAACTCTCACCAGCTCCAGAATTTTCCAAAAGTCCGTGTTCAAGCCTCTTTTGAGACTCAAGGCAAACTCTTAGCTGTGCACCTTTGTAAAAATCAAAATCAAGTATCATAATCTCACAGTGCAACGGCACAGGGTAAGCATTCCTGCTGCAAAAGGGAGGAATGGGGTAGTGGAAGGGAGTAGGACTAAAGTAAGACCCCAGTCCAGCTGGGAAAACCTTCAGTCCCACAGCCCCATGACCAACGTCTGGGTCACGAGGTGGCAACGTGTTAACTCCCAAGGGCATGGGCAGCTCTATCCGCATGGTCTTGCTGGTTGCAACGCTCCTGACCTTTCTTGACCTGACTCCTGTCATTGCCTGAAGATTTCTTTGACGGATGCTTCACATGTGTGGTGTCTCCAGCTCCCTGGAGTTCACACTGCAGCTTCAGCTTCCCTCCCACAGCTTTAAGCAGCTCTCTGGGTTCACGGCAGGGACTCACCCTTGTGGCACGTCACCTGGCCTCCTAGGCCTTCCTTTGAAATCTGGGTGAGAGTGCCCATAACTCTTTTATTTGTGTGCCTGCAAGACCAGCATTGCACGGATGACACCAAGTTCTGCCACCAGCTCAAGGAATCACCAGGCCCACTTGAACAACAGTCACAACAGACTTGGGTTTTGCATGGCTGGACTTGGGGATACCTTCCTTAGGCACCCCTGAGTGAGTGGCGTGCCTAGGGCTCTTCTCCAAGCAAAGTCTTTCAGTGATGTTTTCCGTGTACACCGGGTGAAGTGTGGCCAGTTTCTGAGGTGCCTTCCAGCATTCCTGTAGTCTCAGTGCAAAGGGCCCCGCTTCCTCTATGGCACTGATCTCTTCCGCAGCCGCACTTTCTTTGACCCTAATTTTACACACACTTCTTCTGGTCAAGCTTCAAGTTTTTCAAATCTTTCAAATCTTTCTACTCTGTCACTACTTAATATAAACTTAGCTGAAAGCAGCCAGCAATACCATTGCAACAGCCTGAGCACTGTTCTGCCCCGGAATTTCCTCCACCAGATAGATGAGCCCGTTACCTTTAAACTCAACCTGACACGAAGTTTCGGGGCATGAACAATGCAGGAAAGAGTCTTTGCCGGAATGTAATGCACGCGGCCTCTAGCCCACTTCACAGGGCAGTGCTCTTTCCCATTTGGAGCCTCTTGAACAAACTACTCGCTGTGTTCCTATCAGCCTGCCGGTCAGCTGAACTCCCACCAGAACCGTCCACTGGGCTCTGCTTACAGCCTTCTAGGTTTTCTCCAGCCCAGTTCTCCAAGCTTTCCCAAACTTCCCCCACAGTGCAGTGCCAAAGACTTCTGAACTACTTGATCAGGTATAGTCATGGCAATGACCCCACTCTTGGCACAAATTTTTTATATTTGTCAGCTTGTTCATCACTGGGATCAAATACCTGACATTCACAGTCTTGACACACAGTCTCAGAGGGTCTAGTCCATAGTTAGCTGACTCCAAGGCAGAAATGTCATGATGGAAGAAAATTGCTTGCCTCATGGCAGTCAGGAAACAGAGCAAGAGGAAGAGCCAGAAGTGGGAGAAGGGCTGGGGACAGGATGTGCCCTTCAAAGGCCTCCGTGACCTACCTCATCTGCCGGGGCCCTCCCTTGCACTGCCCGTTCAGCTGTGAACTCATTGGTGGATCGATCCATTGATTGTAGCACCCTCATGACCCACGTGTCTTCTGGAAGCTGCAGCTCTGAACTTAGGAGATGTTGGGGGGCAGTTTTGATCAAAGCATAACAGGTTTCTAAGTAGCTCCAGTGTGTCTGCACCATGAGCCACTCTTTCCCAGCCATCATCATGACCAGATGCTGGGAAAGTCAAGGGACAGCCCTGACCAGCTCCAGAACAAGGCAGCACAAAGCAGAGCTGAGGCTGGAGCCAGGTGCCTGGTCCTTGGCTCCAGATGAGAACAGTGTGTGGCTAGGACCACACTGGGGAGGATGATGTCATATCTGTGGTCCTGGAAAGCGTGGCCACAAAGACAGTCCCTTGTTGCACCCAGACACGTAGAGGGACAGACAGTTTTAAGATGGGATCACATGTGTGCTCCTTTGGGATTTGAGAACCTGAGTTTCAGGCAGGGGTGTGGGGCAGTAGTGGGCTCCACAAAAATAAAAAGTGAGGCGAAAATTAACACTTGTGCTTCAGTGGTACAGGACCTGGAGGATGAGCCAAGCAACCTTTCACTCTGCTCCCTGAGTGGGTAGAACTGCGCGTGGGGCCCCCAGGGCTCCCTGGGCGTCACCCTGGGCTGGCCTGCTGTGGTGGGCAAGGGTCTCTGCATCTTGGTCTCTTTATCCTGCACCCTGCTGTTGGCTTATCAAGGCCGTGCCCAGGACTGTCCTGGAGCCAGCACCTCTCTGCGCCCAGCATGCTGCCAGGCGGCCACCACTGTGAACCGGGGAGCAAATACTCACAGGCCCGGCGCCCCGGAATACGCAGCTCTTGGAACTGCTTTTCACAACACGTGCAGGATCTCAGAGGTCAGGGTTAGAATAACATGCGTGTGTGTTTGCATCTAGCTATCATCTGTCTATTATCCATCTGTTATTCATCCATCTATCATCTCTCACCTGTCTATCTGTTGTGCCTGTCGTATATCCTCTTTATCATCTATGTATCTATCCATCTTACCCTAGCCATCCTTCCATCCTATCTCTATGTATCTCTCTCTCTCTTTCTACTTACCTGTCTAATCTATCATATCTATTTATCTCCTACCTATGTATCTATCTAGTCTATCTATCTATCTTCTACCTATTGTATCTATCATCTGTCCTATTTTTTTTAAGAGTAGGAAGAATTCATGGAGAGAAAGAAAGCTTTTGTCTGAGAGGGACAGAAGGGGGCCCAGAAAGGGTGTTGCCCCTATCCTATCTATTTTATCTACCACCTCTCTATTCATCTAATCCAGCCTATCATCTATCCATTGTGTTTATTCTATCTACTTATGTAATCTATCATCTATCTATCTAATCTAGCCTATCCATTTATTTATATATTTATCTACCACCTAGCCAAAGTTATTTATGTATGTATGTAGGTATCTATCTAACAATCTGTCTATCTATCTATCATATCTATCATTTATCCATTGTATTTATCTATCTTATCTGTTTATCCAGCCAATTTATTGTATCAGCTTATTTATTCTATCTGTAATCTACCTGTCCCTATGCCCAATAGAACTTGCTTCCTCTCTGCACTATTTCCACCACCCAGTGGGGCTTTGCTGACCTTAATCTTTAACTTGCTGCAGGTAACCAATGGGGTCAGTAATGATGGGTTTTAACCTCAGCTTAGAGGAACACATCG